TGGCACACTCCTCTACATCATTCGAGAGACAAGAATGCAACAAATCCTTTGGTATGCAACACAGAACTGGAGTCAGGATGTTTTTCCATAGTCTCACTGGTCACCCATATTGGCCAAAATAGCCCACGTCTGAAAACTTTCCTTTTGCAATTATAAAAAGCTGAAGAAAACAATTTTAATAGAGAAGTTCAACGTGTACATTTTTGTTCAACACCCTAGATTTTCTGAGAACCTTCAGTTTTCATCCTGCTTAATAATCTAGAATCGTCTCCTGTGTAAAGCCAAAGATTCACAGACCCTCAGGAGAATGCTAATGCATAAATGCACACTACAAATTAATCAGAACGAAGAAGAGTGACTAACTGCAAATTAAGGATTAGATAAGTAGTTACTAACAAAGAAGCATCCACAAAGCTCAACAAATATTCACTGAATACTAATTGTTTTAAACTCTAATGAAATGCAATCTTGCCAGACAATCAGCTTTTTACTACGGAACAGTATTTTAAGCATGCACCATCTACAAATTATCTCGTCTTTTAAACACTTGAACGCACAAACAAATAGCTGCAAAACAGCGAGACATCTCAACAGGAGCTAATTTATTGTATGACTTGAGTCATCTCATGATGAGTAACTCCCCAGTTACATTTCCATTTTAAGGTATCTATGGATTTTGTTACTGTCTCTCTCAGTTAAAGCTTTCTTACATCAACATCATAAAATGGCTCTAATGGCCTACTTGAGAACAGACTTGACCTTACTAGGATTTACGGATGTAAATTTGAGATGAAAATTACCCTTCCCAAGCCAACACCAACAGATAACACAGCAATACAAATAGTTTTGCTCCATAGCAGTAGCCAATAGTCTAGATCCTGATCTCCCTTGTGTCAGCAATAATCTGATGCACTGAAGAAAATGAAGTTACTTCTAAGTTTCCATCCAGAATAAATTGTCCCACTCTCCAGTCAATTGGTAAATTCATTTAAGCAGCCTGTACTGAAGAGGTAGAGCAATGCTCATCCTCAAACAAAGGCCAGCGAAACTAGGAGTCCTTCCACTGACTTCCATGGCCTTTGGATGAGGCTCTAAAACAGAGAAATAGGAACAGCAGAAGAGATTATATCCTAATTAGAATGAGCTCATTGACACTCAGACCAACCTTCATTGTTCAACAGGAATAGTATCGAGCTAAGCCTGTCTGATAGTTTCTGAACACTGCAATCCTGAATATTATTTGACAATCAAGTAGACATCACTTAAGATACACTACGTGACAGACAAATGGGAAGGTAATAACTTTCTCTAAACCCTGTATTACTGCCACTTTTAACACCTGAAAATGCAAAATCTCACTGCAACTGCAATAGTCTCTACTCAGTATATTCTTTTAAATTCAATCTGGGTACTCCTGCATTAAGTAATAAAGAAATATATATAGATGCTGTTCAAGGAACTATACCAGGCTTTTAAAAGAATGAAATCTTTTTTTACGCAGTTCATGGAGACTTATTAAAATAGACACAAAAGCTTGCCCTGGCTGTTCTCACAAGCACTAGAACATAAAGCCCTCAATTTTGGGGTGATCACGCAAGGAAGTGGTCCTGTAGCAAGCAGCCTTAAGCAACAAAGGGGAACACCACTGTAGATATAACTCATTGTCTTCTAAGACTGCAAAGATGCTTTTCAGCTCTGATACACAGAGGCTATTGCAACTGATACAGGATTGAAGAGAAGTTACTTGTAGTGTAATACCATTTTGGAAGAAAACCAGGTGTCTTCCATGTCAGCTTTAGAGAATCTGCATTAATATGTGAACTGATGATCAGAGGGATGGAGCACCTCTCCTATGAAGACAGGCTGAGAGAGCTGAGATTGTTCAGCCTGGAGAAGAAAAGGCTCCAGGGAGACCTTATAGCAGCCTGCTGGTACCTGAAGGGACCTACAAGAAGCTGGAGAGGGACTGTTTACAAGGGCATGGAGTGACAGGACAAGGGTAACGGCTTTAAGCTGAAGGGAGATTTAGATTAAATATTATGAAAAAATTCTTCTCTATGAGGGTGGTGAGAAGGCACAGGAGCAGGTTACCCAGAGAAGCTATGGAGGCCCCACCCCTGGCAGTGTTCAAGGCCAGGTTGGACGGGGCTTTGGGCAACATGGTCTAGTGGAGAGTCTCCCTGACCATGGCAGGGGCCTTGGAACTAGATGATCTTTTAAGGTCCCTTCCAACCCAAACCATTCTATGATTCTATAATATATAGATCCAAACTGTTATATGTGATGATACATTCAGGTATTTAACATTAAACATTTGGAAAGGTATCCCATGGTTCAGGCTCCCCTGAGATTTTTACTTAAAATACTTTCATTTTGAATGTCACTTACAGAATCCAAGCTCATCTCTATGGCAGAATTACTACTCAGAGGACAAATGGATTCTCCCATGAGCCTCTGGAGAGAGTGATATTCTTCCACAGGAAACTACTCAATCATTCATTTTCAAATGCCATGCAGGGAGTCCACCTTTCTGCCACTCTCTAGTTAAACATATTTATTCTCAATCCTATCATGGGTCAGAAAATTTCCTCAGGAAACATCAATGGTAAAAATTGGTTGTATTAGTTTAGTCTCTAATGAACACAACTGAGAATGGTCAAATGGAAGTGGACATTTGGAGAAAGTCAGACTCACTTAACAGGAAAAGAAAAGCAATCAAATGTCAAACTCTGAAAGGGGGAGATGTTGGAGCTATGAAGGTAAGAAGAGAAACCTCCCAAAACTGAACAAAAATACATACCAACCTTTCTTCAGTCTGGTTCCATTTAGTCCTCAGCTATGATACATTTATCTGTGTATCATATTAACTTGAGAGTCATCCCTAAGTTATTTTTATACCCACAAAAATATATCCCCAAAATGATAATGCCCTGAACGAATACTATTTCAGTAATACTTTGCAATTGATTAAGGACACCTCTAGCACTGTTATATCCCTGAAGAGGCCAGCCAGACATTTCCTTTCTAAATTACCAGATAGCTCATGGAAACTGAGCAGGCGTGATAAATGAGCTGTAGTTTTCTAGACTGCGCTTTTTAACAGATGTATTTACACATTTCACAATCTACCAGTAGGGATGGTGTGTGTTACTGCCAAATGTTAGATGAAATGTTATCAAACAAAAGTCTCCCAACAAATTCCCATCATATTGACTATTAAGATCAGCCTGCCATGTGTAATTTCTCATGTTATGTCCTTGATCAAGATTTTTTTAAGCTATTGTTACTATTTTAATTATCCTTTTTGTACTTACACGAACAAAGAAATTGCAGAATGCTGAGAGACTTGTGCCACTTAAATTTTTAAAATACTTTGTAAGCTTATTTAATAATTAAATAATTTTAAAAATCCTACATCAAAAACCTAAACCCGATCCCATTTCTATTTTTGCTTTTCAAAGGGCTCCCCTTTCAGACAATAGCAGAGATTTTATCTGCCTGAGTCAGCTGCTCTTTAACACAATATCTGATTTCCCTTAAACAGCTGATGGTGAGAATTAGCCACTCCCATGCCATGGCTGGTAAAACTCCAAGGTGTTACTGAGCTGCCATCAGTGACAACGTGGCCTTGGCAAAACAGGAAGAGATTCCAGGGGAAGCTGTCATTTCTCTCCATTTTGCTGGAGAGGAACAAATGGAGCCTGCGTTGTGCTGGACTATTTGCATCTGCTGTACCACATAAAGTGGCACGTTGGGGTACACTGGGGCAGATGTAGCGACAGCATGAAGAGACCTATAGTTCCCACATTAGCACAACCTAAGGCAATACACATCTTGTCATATAACCTGGCCCAGGCATGCAGAAGCCCCAGTGAACACGCAATGCATGCCACTCCAAGAACTGTCATAGGCTGTGGAGTCCCACCACACAATTCAAGATACCTTCCCTATGTCCATGACAGTGGTGGTGCTATAATGCCACCTGAATAGTGAACAACATGCTGGGCTCAAAACCCTGCCTATAGGGCATTCAAAATCTTAATAAAATATAATGTTAAGTCTGATGGTTCCTACTTCCTCATGGATGCATGGTAATACCAGCTAATGTGTTCAGACACAAGGCAGAATTTTGTCACAGCACCTTCTGAATAGCAACCGTACGATGATACGGCCACAATCCACATTCAGCAGAGCTCTTACAGATCACGCATCTTAAGTCAGGCTCAGTGCACTTCACAAACACATAAAACAAATATTAATCTGGTGGTGATACTATAATCATGCTGTTTCTTTCTACGTTAATGTCCGTTCACATCTCCAAAAATACTTACATTCATTTATCAGCATCTTAAGTATAAAGGTCTCTGAAACAGTGCTTTGGTCGAGGGGCTTCTAACTGCCCAGGCTATGATCAGATTACTTTCTTTACATGTCTTTAACTTCCTGCTTGACTCTCCTTAGAAGGAAAAAAAGAACCAACAAACCCACTCTCCACAAATACCACTTACATGAAAAGTGATTTCTGATTAACTGCCTGTGATACATTTTCAGCAACTTCCTGAAAACCTCCAAGCTTCCAAGGTTTGCTAGCACAAATGTAACACTGAAATTAAAGCTTATGTATTAGATCTTTTCCTCAGAATAGATTTTAAGTTGTTTTCAATTATAAGGGCTGTATTTCATGCCGCCCTTGTTAGTCACATGTTTCGTGCACTCAGGAAACAAAAACAATTTTCTAAGATTGAAAAACCACATTTACTATTAGTATTTTCAAGAACTTTGCACAGAACATTTGAAACTCCAGAAATACTTATTAGAGAAATGTGTGGATAACTCTGGATCATGGAGTTTCTGAACAGCTGGAGCTTTGGAGACAACTTGTGCACAAACTAAAAAGCAGAATACATTAGTAACTGGAAAACATATTTAAATCTAATTTTACATCTAAAAGTGTATATATTTCAGAAATTTCAAAATGGGGAAAGAAGTTTTGCTCCTACCTCTTCCAAAGCCCATAATGAATCAACCACAGGCTTGATCTTCTTATTGTTATATAGATTTAGGAGTTTGTCCATCACACCCTTGATCAGGCCACCTCGATTCTGTTTGAAAAGTAGATTCAACAGGGAAAATCCAGCAATGACTTTGTTCTCCTCATACAGCTTGATAGGATTTACTTTCTCAACCTGCCACCACTAGAAAGCAATAAACAACAGCAGGGTTAGAAAAACATTTTTCAAGAAGCGTACAGGAAAGTTCACATGAAAACTGTCTGGGCAGATACGATATGTGACTTATCTGTCAGATCTGAAGCAACAGCCAAGAGAAGCAGTAAGGATTTTATTTAAAGAAGAAGCAAAAAAGTATGCAGCTGACTGACATGTGGAAATAAAACAGACTTGTGTTGCAGGAGATTAGGGTGTTAGAGGAATGGTGAACAGATCTGGTTTATTTGGACCTCCCTTCTTACTTCTGCTATTCTTTGTTATGTCAAGAGCCATGCAAGTTTCCCAAATGTCTGCAAGCAACTCTTGACTCAAAACCAAGGAAACCACGCACTGCTTATCAGCTGCCATTTACTTTTCACCCATTATTATGTTTGTGATATTTAAGCAAAGCTCTAATGAAATTATTTTATCTCATTTAGCCCAAGAGCATCCTTGAGACAGATTGTGCTTCCTAGCAAGTTTTATTTGAATGGGTCAATTTTTAATTAAAGTTTTCATACAATTTTGATGAGTTAATTTTGCAGTGTAATTAAAGAAACTAGTTATACTTGTATACAAAATTTGATATGCTTTTAAAATTAATTTATGCATATTTATGCAGTCAATAAATACCAGTACTATGTGAAAAACATTTCAGTTGAAATCAATTTTGTTGGGCCAACCTACAAATTATATGCATCTGGATACGTTTATATTAACAGTAAAAAGGCCACACAGTAAAGATTATCTTGTTTTGGTTCACAAACGTGTGAAAATAAAAGATCGTGCCACTACAACCATTAAGAAAACATAGGAAGCAAAGAAGAGCTGCTTACTACAGTCTTTGATTTGTCTTGTTTTCAACTACATGGAGACTTTTGAAGCTAATTTCTCCTGGGAAAGGGCTGTTGCGGGAAGCTGTAAATGAGGTCTTGGCAGAAAGAGCATATGATAGATCTTCAGTCAAGACTTCTCCCTCTGTTTATCTTGTCTGAAGGAATCACTTTCAATCCTAGTTAACTTATTTCTCACTAGCAGTTTATTTCATATATGTGTCCCTTTTTTGATCTCTAGGACTTCTGAGCAGATTTTTGTTGTTGCAGTAAGCTGAAGAAAAAAACCACCACATTTGAGTTTTGGATCTGTTGACATCATCAATTAGGAAACAAATGCAACATCATCATCTCTTCGATATCACTTGAAATGAACACAGAGAACGAAAAAATGCATTTCCGTATGAAACTACCTTCTGAAAAGCTGGAAATGACCTCACACAAGCTCCATCTTAAAGAGATTTATCTCTTTTAATATCTCCTTTAATTCACTGCACTGCCTGACAGTGTTTTCAGAGATGAGGAACCTACAGGGTACCGTTATCCATATCCATATCCATGGATAGGATATTCTGCCATAAGTAAATAAATAACACAGTCTAACTGTAAACTTAGCTGTATAAGATGTATGTCTGATAGCTAACATGACTGCACACAGATCCAATTCCTGTCTAGCTGTCCTATCAGAAGCAAACATGTCAGACTACATTGCAGTCAGAACAACACTCTTTTTTGCAACATCAGAAGTAACAACGTAGTAGAGAGAAATGAGAATGATAAAGATGAAAATGCTACCGAGAAGAACGAAGTTGAGGAAGTAGCAGAATCACAGCACTGGGACACTTACTGATTTTGCAAAACTGAAGAAGCTTTTTGTCTCCCCCGTAACCATGTTAGATGAACCTGTAAAAGATGAGTATATTCACACAAAACTTATTACATACTGACAAACAGAGCCTTTATTATATGTAAAATAATTTCCATGATTCCTATTAAAAAAATATTCTCCCCAGGTTTAAAAGGGACTGGGAGACATTCTTATACTTTGGGAATAAATAACAAAGAGGCCAAGCTGACAGAGCCCTACAAGTTCATAGGTATTCGGAGATGACAAAAATAATCTATCAAATCTTCCAAAACCAGGAACAGGTTAAGTGCTACTGGGGATCTTGACACCAGAACTCTTCCATAGCGTGCTCTGCAGTAAAATGCCATTTGTCCCTGACACACAATTATTCAGCAGGTGTCCCTTCTCCGTATCTGTAGAGATACATTTATCTGACCACTGCATATGTGAACATACATGCATTGTACACTACAACTTGTTAACAAGCGCAATGACAGTTCACTGGCAAGGACTTCATCACAAACAGGCAACGAGGTTGGCTTGCACAGTCCAAGCAGATATCTGAGTGACGAGGGGTTCGTAGGTGCCACCCTGCTAGCTAGACGAAAGCCCAAGTAAGCAGGTATGCTTATCCATGATGCCACTGCACATTCTACTACGATAGAGATATATTCTTAATTTCAAAAGTTTAGCAATCCCTTCAGCTGTCCTACAAAAGCTCGGCCTGCTTTATCAACACACAACACGGCAACCTGGCAGAACTGCAGGAAAGACATGGTCACTAGGTATGTGGAGCAGTCCATGTACACGAATGTAAGTTTGTGAACAGAAGCCTGGGCTTGAATTCCTCAGCCATGTCAAATAAAAACAATAGCATTCTTCCTTAAATCTTCTTCCAAGCTTCCCTCTCACAAGAACTATATTACAGTTTCCTTGGCCACACTGTGATTCCCATGATGTGTAGAATGAGAGATCCAAGCCCTCTCCTACACTTCTCCTGTATCACCCAATAATGTTTAACAATCTGAAACGTATGTTGTTTCACTTTGGGATTTTTTTTTAAGAGTTTCTTTTCATTACGTATTGTTTCTCAATAATTTAGTCCACGCTCAGCTTCACTAAAATTCTTGATTGAAAATGACCAAATTGAGAAAGTGTAACATGGCGGCCTCCAGTTCTAGAAGGAATGGCATGGGTGATTTTAAGATTTTAAGTTTTGCAAAGCTGAAATATGTACCTGGCTTTTTCCACTCACCATATAAAATGTAAGTCCCAAGTGGTTTGAGAAGACTGAGGCCTTTCCCAGTATTTTCTCCACACAAGCAGTCCAAAACAATATCTACTCCATCCGTTGAGATTCTGAAAAGCAAGAAAGAAACCTCACTTTGCAATAAGATGCACTCGACTGGTCAGCCAACACAACACAGACCAATTGTTAACATAATACTAACATTTTTCTAGGCACTTTAGAAAGGACTAAGGCTGAGGCTTTGACTACGTGAAAACTTCCTCCTCATTAAAAGACAATTCAAATTCTTTCAGTGCTGGCATGTGAGTTTGTTGAGCTGGCCAACCCATGTCTTTCAGGGTTAGAAGAGTGGGAAACGATCTTGCTCCCCCTTTTTGAGGTCTTTCAGTAAAACTATATTATCAAAAAAACCCCAGGTGATAGATACAAAGTTCTTTTTGAGTGAATATGAACATCAAAGAACATCTTTTTTTTTTTTTTGGTCAATGAACATCATAGAGAAAAAGGACATTTTTGTTATTCACATCTTATATATTCTTTTTCTGAATCCGTAAGGGAACAGATCTTATCCTAGCTCTTCTCAGATAAAATTACATCCTTGTAAAGTTATTTAAAGAGTCTTCTGTTTCAGACTTTGTATCAACTAGACATCAGCAAAGCGTTAAGCATAAAGAGAAGTCACCAAGAGCTACAAACCCAGCTCTAAGGATACAATCAGGCCATGTTATAGAAAGCAGAAAGTATTTGTATTGTTTCAATAAATAGCTTGCGTATTTAGAATTTTCCAATAAATTGCTTTGTGACTGCAATGTCAATGTGATGCTGAAGAAGAAGAAAAAAATACACCCAAATATCCTGATTTAGGTTGTTTTTCTCCTGGCAAAACACCAGCCTGCAAAATCCTATCACTAGTTTGATCTCTTATATCCTACCTCCTAACCAAGTGAACAGCCCAAGCAGTAGTAAATTCTTGATTAATACTCTTAAACAATTATGCAAATAACTGGTGCAGACACTACAAGAAAATTGCAACCTGGAGACTATCAAAGGCTAAAGGGGCAGTCAATAGCATCTCATCCCCAGGAATGTCAATTATGTCCTGATGACCATGCCTTCTGCAGTGGTATAACTGCAATGAGAAGTCAGGAAAAGAGGTAAAGCTTTATGGCTTCTAATGCATCTCTCCGTTTCCTCACCAAACAAAGGTGGTACCTGGAGCCACTGGTTACAAACAGCAACAAAATCAGCCAACTTTACTCTTTAGGACCGCTGCCGTATGTGGGGTAATAAATTGTTTAGATTCAGGCCAGTGGACAGGCCTTCACTGTAACCAAATAACGACTTTGCAATCAAACAGCTTTCGGTGGCTTCCACGGTTGAACTGATTCCTCATCCCCTGGGAGCATTTTCATATTCATATCCCCTCTGAGTTGGTTGTTTGGGTGTTTTTTGGGTTTTTGACTGATGAAAGCTCTTCTTTCCCAGACTACTCCAGTCACGTGCAATAAAGCACCTTCCTACCGCTATCCTTTCCCAGCCACAGACCCACCCTTGCCAGCTCACAAACTCAACTAATGAAGAGCCTTCCCCTTCCCTCAGGGCTGCCCCCGTGCAGACCAGCTGCCGTCCCTGCTGGCCAGCCAAACACAGCATACAGCCAACAGCCAGCAAACCAAACCACTACACTGCTCCCCCACTGCCTCTTTCAAAAGATAATTTGTCTTTATAGCATTCTCAAAATTACCACTGTACCTTTTTTTTTGATTTTTTCAATGCAAAGTGAAAATACACAGATCTGTGCAACGAATCAGAGTATTACATATTCTATAAGGTGCCAATTCTTGCTTTTAATCAGGACTATCAATTGTGCTAATACTACACACCCCTATACCAGGACAGAGGCACCAACTAGCTTGTTGCAGCTACGTTTTCTGTTTTGTACCCACTGGTTCTCTGCCTCACTGGTCTATTGCAAAGTGAAAAAGTGTGTGAAAACGCAGGATCACCAAAAGGGATTTTAACTGACTTAACAGAGCAGAATTTTATCCCTTTGTAACCAGGTCTCTTTTTGATTTCAATAGTTACAGTCTGTTAAACAGTCAGGGGTGGCATCAGGGAACTGTCCCGAGCAGCCAACGTTATCTGCAGTCATGAAGTTATAAGTGAAAGGGGCTTTATTCCCTTTTTTTTAAGCACTGATTTCTGTCGTATCTGTTTCCACATCACATACCCACTTAGATCAGATCTTCTGCTGCCCCTGCCAAGAGTTAGGATTAAGGTTGGTGCTGAACTCTGGTTAATGTTTTCAAGTGTTCTTTCTTGCTGAATCAACGTTTGTAAAGTGGGGATTGCTAGAATTCAGTCTTCATCTCACTACAGCAATTTTCCAGGGCAGCAGAAGACTTAGGTAAGTATACTTTCCCAAGAAAAAGGCTATCGAAGGGCTGAAGAAATGTGCTGCAATTCTTCTGAGCTGTAACAAAATGGCAGGGGTGTCATCTGCTGGACAAGCCCTATCTTTTTTGGTGGAACTTCCTATATGGAAAAATTTTCCTTTGGTATAAAACATTCTTTGTGATGGATAGCTTCAAATGTTCTCTCAAGCCCTTGGGAGTGCTCCAGAAACAGTAGCAAGACACCCTGCTTTCTCCTCCACCACCAGTCTAGATTGCTAACAGCTCAGACAGAAGTCTGCTATATACCGAAGGGTCTCTTTGAGAGCTAGCAAGCCCCCTTCTAAGAGACCTTCTCAGACTTTGCAAGTCACTGAGGAATGCAGAGGTTTGACAGGAAGCCTGTCAACTGTACTACCTAGGGGTGCCCCTTTGAGAAATTTCTTCTTTTATGCCTGGCTACATAATCTAGTATTTTGACAGGTACAAGATGAAGGGAAAACATTATTCTTATTGGTCTGACAGGTAAAATCAAAAAGACATTTTTTTGCTAAGATTTTCTTATCGATTCTAAAGCTTTGCCGCCTGTATCAACATCAATATCTAAAAACAAACTGGAAAAGAAAGCGTTTGAAAGCATGTAAATAGAAATACACATCATGACTTCAAAAGGCAACAGGATGATTCTAATCTAAATGCAAACAAACAAAATCTAAGGATCTGAAATTAAAACAGACATCATGTGCTCTAGTATCAATCCCTGGCAGAGCATAAAAACCCAGGCAGATAGAAACACATCAGAGAACTCCAAAAACCTGGATAATTTACAGATCCACTGAAAATACCTTACACTCAGAGCATTACAGAGAGCTGCCACATATGCAGATAACAGCAAAGTACATCCTTACTCTTTTTCACTTAATTTGCTTGCAACAGATGTCCAAGTATGAACATGGACTAACAAAGCTTTATTGCTTATAAAGAAATAGGGAGATGCTTGCTATCTTATCCCTTGTAGTGGACAGATGGAATATCTGGAATAAACTACAGTTCCCAAACTCACAAATGTAATCTCTTTCCGTAAATATGATCAACCTGGTGTCTTTCATAGTATTTTGCCAAATACTATACAACCTTTACTCAAGAAAATAAAAGATTACCTTTTTACTTCTTGAACATAGTCTGCATTTCTGTCAAACAGGTGAGTTACTGAGTCTTTGATTGCTTCATGTTTGAAAGATGAAGCTGTTCCAAAAACAGTAACATTGGGAATAGTTGAACAGAGCTGAGCAACAGCTTGACCCTGCAAATACATTATTCTGTTAGTTCACTGACATGGAAATTGGTTGATAGACTTTGCAGTTGCTAATTCACTCATGACACAGCAAAATCCAGGACCAAACATTTGCAGTTGCTAATTCACTCATGACACAGCAAAATCCAGGACCAAACATGTGCAAGGACTTTACAAACTAATTTCTTGCCAGTGCAATACAGTTCAGCCACAGGAAAAAAAAAAAACAAAACAAAACATCAAACACTTCAATCAAAAGAGTGTTCTGAAGACAAAGCAACCTGGGTTTTGTTTTACTCTTAACACACTAACAAATGGAAGAGAGACTTTTGGTAGCCACAATCCTGCCTCCTGTTGTAACCACATTATTCCACTGGAGCTAGCACAGTTACACAGATATGCCCAGAAGCAAGAAACGGCACTGTCATTCTAAAAATAATGTCTGATGGAATTCACCAGACTCTTACTTATATATTTACAGCCAAAAGATTGTTATTTGTCAACTGTATACATGACCAGTAAAATCATCCATGGATAAGCACATTTCTGTTCATTCCAACCAGAAACCCTGATTATTATTATGTAAATACCAGTAATCAGCGCTTGGGTTTTATTTACAGTAGAATAATTAGATAACCCTGCATACCCCAGGAATCTTGGCATCCTCACATATAATGCTGAATGTAATTGCTAGTGACAATCCTCTGAGCTAAACAGCACAAAGGAGGACAGTATTATTATTTATATATGGTAGCATCCAGGAGTTTCAGATTGGTTTCCTACTGGATTAGTCAGCAAAGAGCTACACAGCAAGGCAGAGTTTAAGTGATCCTTTGGACAAACACCAATACTGCAGAGAGCAGCAGAAGGGATGCATTCTCATTCTTACTTTACAGATGAGAAAGGGAACAGCACAGCAAATTGAACAACCTGTCCAACAGCTCTGAGAAACTTATAGCAGGAGCCAGGTATGAATGCTGATTCAGAGCATGGTAATCCAATACCAAACATAAATGATCTTCTCTTTTTAAAATCATCCACCATCTTCCTGTGTTGGAATCCCTCATCTGTTAGAAGTCATAGGAAAAGCCATTCCTGAAGGGCCTCATCTCACCAAATATAATGTCTTCGGGGAGCAGAAAAGATTTCATTCTTCTCATACTTCATTTCTCTATTACTTACCATCTCATTCTGAAGCCCAGGTTTTAGCACAATATTCTAACATAAAATTACAAGAAAAATTAATCTGGATTTTGTATCTCTCCTTTTCTTATTAATTTTCACTAGCAATCTTTTTTTCTTTCTGTGTCTCCCGGAAAACCATCACCCGCAGTGATTTAGATAAGTCAGTATTTTATAAGGTATGCTAGTCAAGTGAAATTCTGACATTATTGATCTATTCTCTAATTAGTTTTCTGCATTTTCAATCTAACTTGGGAAGACAAGGGATAATGAGCATATCCTGAATCAAAAACACTGACTGTTTAAAAGGTCAAATATCAGAGTAGAAAACATGTTGATTTTTATCCTGCAGAAGATGATTTAACATTTAACAAACTGACAGTTGGATGTATAGGACAAATGCACAAAAAACCCAGGATGCATATAACCTATTTTCCTCCTGACTCAAACTCGTTAGTAT